GTAGACCTATGGCACTGGGTAATTAATTGTTGTGACCCCGAAGTGACACACATGAGAAAGCTACTAAGTTTTTACTGGATTGATACAAGCAAGTGAACAAAAGTCTACCTCAGGGGCTGGTGAGATGGCTCAGTGGTCTAAAGCACCTACTTAGAAGAGGCTTAGCAAAGCACAGGGACCGTGGTTCAATCCCCCAGCACCACATGCCAGCCCCGTCCCCTAGTGGGCTGAGCTGGCCACACACACACACACACACACACACACACACACACAAATAAATAAATAAAAAATTTAAAAAAAAAGTCTACCTCAAATTATACTAAAAGAGCCAGGTGTGATAGCACACACTTGTTATCCCAGCACTGAGAGGCTGAGGCAGGAGAATCAGGGCAAGTTCAAGGCCAACCTAAGCTATATAGTGAGATAAAACCATTCTGAACAACATAGTGAGACCTTGTCTCAGAAAATAAAACAACTTATTTATTTGCCATTTGTATTTCTTCATCTGAGGAGTGTATATACATTTTTTTTTTTGGGTGGGGAGAGTTCATTCAATTTTGGGAGCCTGATTTTTAAAATTCTTTATACATATTCTAGATAGAGACCCTTTGTCGGAGGGATAGTCAGCTAAACTTTTTATTCCCCCAATTTGTGGATTTTCTTTTCACTCTGTTGGTGATTTCTTTTGACATACAGAAACTTTTCAAAAATATGAGATCCCAGCTGTTGATTCTTTGAAGTATTTATTGTGCTGGTCTATTGAAAGGAGCAGTTAATGCTTAATTCTTTTCTCTGTCCTTTTAAATTTTTTGACCAATTTTGCGTGTTTATTTCTGATGATCTGAACAACTAATTTGAAGACAGTATGCAACATAACAACCATTGTTAAAATCTTATCATTTTGTTTTGTGAAATTCTGTATCATTTCTAATAGTTTTTAGTAATTTTTATCCTTAAAAGCTTTAGTTAATTAATTAAAACAAACTAAAAAAATCATATTAAAAGAGAATCACAGCCCTTCAACCCTTTCCCAGAAATAAGCCAGTGTACAGACACAGAGAACTTAGAATGAGGAGGAGGCTGGGTCCCCTGAGAAAGAGCTCTGTTGCACTACCAGAAATGTTTATCTCTGTCTTTCTTCCATCAATCCCCCCAAAAAGATACAACATCTTTTATCTGGGTAAACACACATTGGGGTAGAGGAAGTGATCAGAGATTTTGGGGAGTGCTGGACACTGGTTCAGAACACTAATTCCAAGAAATCAAAAACATCATTGTAAAAAAAAAACAAAATCATTGTGAGCTTGCCATAAGAGTAGGAGCCCATGGAGGTCTGATGGTCAATGGAGTGTTAGCCATTGTCTGACGCAGTGGGCTCAAAAGGTCCCTGAATTCATCTTGTGGTCGAGTTCTAGAATATGTAAGTGCAATAGAAATACTTAGTGCTTGGCAGAATCCCCACATTGGATCCCCAACCCATGGAGCAAGGGCTCTCGTGGTGGGAAAGGCCAAATGGATGCCACTAGAGCTGCCTCTACTTGGGAAATAGTAAATCAAGAGCAATATTATATCCTTAGAGGCAAGGAAGACATTAGTGCCACCGGAAAAAATTGAAGACCTGAAAAACTCAGGGGTTGGGGCTCCTACCACATCCCCATTTAATTCTTCTATTTGTCCTACACAGAAAAAGATGGAACATGGAGAATGAGGGTAGAATCCCATAAGCTTAATCAGGTGGCAACTCCAATTGCAGCTGCTGTAAGCAGCAAACTTGCCTAAGCAAATTAACGCCAGGTGTGCAGTCACTGATTTGGCAAATGTCTTTTTCTCCATGGCTATTCATAAGGCCTGCCCAATCAAACTGCGTTCAGCTGACAAAGCCAACAATGCACTCGTATTATTTTACCTCAGGGTATATCGACTCATCAGGCTTGTGGCACAACTTAGTCTACAGGGATCTCAATCATCATTCTCACCCACAAGGTGTCATAGTTTATCACATTGATGACATTAGGCAGATTGAAACCAAGTAACTCAGAGGTAGCAACCACTTTGGCCTTGCTGGTAAAGTACTTGCACGTGAGAGGGCACTAAATAAATCCAACTAAAATTTAAGGGCCTCCTACCTTAGTAAAGTTTCCAGGAGTCTAGTGGCATGGAACAAAGATATTTCTTCTAAGGGGAAGGATAATTTGTTGTATCGGGCTCCTTCTAAAACCAAGACTGAGATACAATGCCTGGATTTGGAAGCAATGCATTCTCACTTGGGGGTGATACTCTGGACCATTTACTTCCTGATTTTTTTAAGTAGCTACTAGTTTTGAGAGGGGTCTGGAATAAGAGAAGCTTGTGCATCAGGTTCAGACCATTGTGCTGACTGTTCTGACATGGACCATCTGATCCTGTGGGTCCAGTGGTCCCTGAGGTGTCAGTGACAGATGCTGTTTGGAACTTCTGGCAGGTCTGCACATGTGAATTACAGTGGAAGGCCTTAGGATTTTGGAGCAAGGCTCTGCTGTCATCTTCAGAAAACTACTTTTTCTTTCTGAAACACCTCCTGACCTTCTTACTGAAAGCCCTCATGGAAACTGAATTTTTGACCATGAAATACCTGGTTATTAAGTACCTGAGCTGCCCGTCATGAATTGGATGCTATTTGACCCACTGAGTCATGAAATTGGATGTACATAGCAACACTTTATCATCAAGTAGTAATGTATGTTACTGAACCTAAGCATTTCTAAAAGTACCAGCAAGTTACATGAAGAAGTGACCGAAGTACCCATGGTTCCTTTTTTGCTGTACTGCCTTCTGCCCACCTCCAGTATGTGCCTTATGGCCTCCTGGGCTGTATCTATGATCAGATACAAAGGAGTGCTTAGGTCACAGGTAGCTCTGTATGTTATGCAGTACCCACCCAAAAGTGTACAGCTGTAGCACTGTACCTCCTTTCTAGAACATCTTTCTGAAAGACAGTGGTGAAGGTCATACCACCTTCCAATAGCTCACAAGCTAACAATTACGCTTTTAGCACATGGGCCCCTGGAAGGCATTTCAGATATATGCCGTAACAGTCTTACCCAGCTTCCTTAACTCTGATTCAACTTCATATGTAGCTGATGTAGCTTTTTACCTGAGATACTGTGTTTATACCTTGCTCCCCAACAGGGCTATGTATCCAGCACTTTATTCAAATGCCATCTTGTTCAGAGCCTGTCAGACTTCTCCAGGAGCCTGAGTTCCTAGAGGTAAGATATTCCTTGCTTGTGCTGGTTACTCAGTGAGTCCTCTACTGATTATCTCACTTATAATACATATGAGCATGCACACACATACACATGTACATACACACATACACACACGTGCACACATTTATTTCCAGCCTCAACTTTACACTTCTGTCAATAGCACTTCTCACCTCTAATGTGCCACAGTATATTGTTTGCTTGATTATTTTATTTATCGTTTTCCCCACTAGAGGTAACTGCGTGAAGAAAAAATATATAAAATCCTATTATTTCCTGTCTTGAATTTTCCTATTCTCATATGTTTCCATCCTAGTTGGCCATAGGTTAGGGCTGAGTTACTAAGAAGTAATCACTTATACTTTTCTCAAAGAGATTGCAAGAGCCCTGTTTTCTTGTTCATACCAATCAATACCACCATCTTGTTGTGCCAAATTTAAATTTTCACTTAAGTTTCTGTGGTCAGAAGTTTTGCTACCTGTGCTCAGTATAACTTCTGCTCACAATCCTACAAAATATTTGTGCTGCTCACCACTTTTAGGACCACTTCAGAGGCTGTGTTCTTTGCTGCCAATCAAGTGAGTAAGAGAGAATTTTTGTTCATTCCTTCTACACACATATTTTTAAATAGTTTTTTTAGGCTTATTCACAGCTAACATCCAACAGTCAAGAACGGTACCTGACCTAAGGCAACTTCCCACTAAATACTGGCTGAGTAAGTGGATTCATAACTTCTGGCTTTAGCATGATGCCTGCAACTTAAGAGATCTCCACTGGGTGCTACTTGAATAAACTAATGAGCGATTAGGAGGAATGGGGAGGCAAATGTGTATCAAGCAATAAGGGAGACGCAAATGTCATCCCGGGCTTCTCCTTGTTTTTCTCACTCTATGCTTGATCAGGCGTCAAGTTATTAGTTCACCTATTAGCTTCTAACTACTTAGCTAATACTTTCTTTTCTGACTTTCACTACTTAATTCAGACCCCTGTTAACTTTATATTGGAGTATCACAACCTTCCTCTAGTTTCTAAGCTTTCAGACTTGCTCTCTTCCAGTTGATCCTATAATTCTTAGTGATGTTTCTAGAATGTGTTCAAGAGCTTCACGCCCATGATGGGTGAATGTCATTTTCTGAAGGATAAAGTTCAGATTCCTTTGCAAAAATAGCAAGTCCATCCATGGCTTGGCGCCTTTCCTCCTACCTTCTATACCACTGCCAATCCACCTTATCTCCCCTGTGCTCTGCACTCTTTTAGACTATAGCAGTTCTTTTTTATTTTCACACTTCTGCATGATTTAATGAGTCACACATCACTGGAGTCCTAGAATCCCCAGGTTTTATGGTTGTGTCTTACTGGTGATCTACTGCAGTGTCTAGCATGCCTAGTATCCCATTTAACAGCAATGGCCATTCCAGGACCCAACACCTACTTGACCTGCTCCCACCAAGGATGTGGCCCTTGTTCCTAAAGGCTCTGGAACATGTGGCTTACTTCAACTTTCAGAGGATAAATGGGAAAGACTGTCCCAGTGAGATTTTGTATAGAGGAAATGTGCATCTCCTGTGTCTCCTGTGCAGAGGTAGCAAGGCAAGTCTCCTTTTGGCGCTGGATGGTCATGTCTCTAGCAACAATGAGGAGAGGCAGGGGCTCAGGGCTCAGCAGCTTCAGTGTCCGAGGACATCTAGCACAAGCAAAGCTCAGATCAGGAGCTCTGGTGTAGCCCTGGTCCTGCAGTGCCTGCCCACGGCAGCATCAGAAGAGGCCCCTGCTGAGGGGCAGCAGCTGGGCCCCCGTGCACCGGCTTAGCTCCTCCAGTACCTGCTTCTCCTGAAGGTACATATTCTGCCACTCTGTTTCTGAGTTGTGTGTGAACCTCAAGAGATGACAGAGTCCATGAGTGGCTGTCACAGTCAGAACGCTATAGTAATCTTCCTTTTCTTTGCACTGCTGGAAGACATATTCCACACCTAAGAAAATGTCTCCCAGGTTATAGTCACTTGGAAAACCAGGCTGAGGAATTTCACCTGCTTTCAGATTATCATGAAATGGAAACAAAAGCACATCAGTTGGGATGTTTTTCTTTATATAGACCCCATTAATATGCTGAATATTCTTGTTGTCAAGAAAGATGATCCCCAGGTCAAATTTCTCCACTCTTAAAATGCTCCTTATAATCTCCACATTCCTGCGAAGTGGCACTTTCCTAATGGGGATCACACTTTGCAGATTTCTAATCACCAAACTCATTTCAGGAAGGACATCGGGATCTTTAAAATTGTTTGGGTGGAACCGGGCCGGAAGCGATGCACTATAGCAGTTCTGGAGGCACTTCTCTTTCACGCTTCTGTCTCTGCTCCTTTTGCTTGGAGCAGCTCTCATCATTTTGTATACATGACACACTTTTTACTGTCTTTCACAATTTAGTTTAAGTGTCACTTCCTCCTTGAAGAAGTCCTCTTTAATTCCCAAGTAAAATTTGTTCTTCCTTTCTATGCCTCCCAAAGTACTCATCATCCTGTATTATCACTATTTGCTTATGTATCTGTATTTCTGAATTCTTTGAGGACAGAGAGGATGTTCAAATTATCTTTTTTTTAAATTGCATTTTAAAGAGGAAAAAAACAAAAACAAGAACAAAGACAAACACAAAGAACATAAGACAATAAAAATGGTACATAATTTCAAAACAAAAATAGAAAATTAACAATAGTTTTTACATTATGTATTGTTATCATCAAATTTGTTGCTCAGATTACCAGATATAGCCATGCAAAATTGATCAAATAATTAAACATTGACTATTCCCTTCAATGAACCTTATTTTTCTTCCTTGTCCATTTTACTTTGTATTTAAATCATCTTTGTAAAACCACAGCTTCTCTCCATAGTTCCCAACCATTCAGGGCATAATATGGTTGCTTTTTTTATTTTGGTACTGAAATGATTTGCACCCTGACCTAAACAATTCAAGTCCTACTTGGTGGAAATGACTTAGATTTTAAGTCATGATAAAGTCCAAATGACATATTTCACATTTTAATGAAAAGCATGGATACTTAGTCCAACTTTCTTTTGTGGATTTCCTGGGAAGGGCCAATGCGTTCTAAGGATTTTCATAGGTAAATAAATATTGCTTTTATATTGAGAAGTCTTTTTCTAGGCTGACCTTTCTACCCACATTTTTCTCCTTCTTTATTATGGATATTTTATGTAAATCATAGGAAGCTATATGTTAATATTTCTTATTTAGTCTTTCTGCACAATGTCAACGCTGTTGCAATTCTGAGTTATCACTGCAACAGGGCTTATGCCATACTACAGGAAAGGTGAAATGTAGGCATGGGCTTTTCTATTACTGGAGCTTAAGGGTTTTAAAATCTTAGGTATCTCCTCATAAATGAATACAAGAATGAAAAGTAATGGCTCCCTGGCATCACTCTTAATTTATGACATAAATTATCCTTTTAGTCCCCTTCTTCCTGCCTAAAAGACAAAATGGAAAAGAAAATAATAAAAATACAATTAACTTAAGAACAATTTATCAAAGTAGAGTTAATAATATCAAGCAAACAATCACATGCTGCATCGGCCCCAACCCCACGTACACTGAGCTGGCTACAGAGTCTGGGCATGGTGGAGCACGCCTGTAATCCCAACACTGGAGAGACTGAGACAGGAGGACCACTATGAGTCTGAGATGCATAGTGAGACCCTGTGCCAAATACATTAAAAAAAAATATTCAGCAAACAAGTTAGAATTAGATTGTCATCCTAAGAGTTCTCTGAGAATGAAGTATCAAGAAAAAAGAAAAAAATTATATCTAGGAAGGAAACAGGAAATTTCTATCAACTAGGAGCTGGCTATGTTGACTCCGGGTGCAAACTGTTGCACTACCAAGGAGAGAAGAGAGAGCATGAGGGAGTAAGCGAAGGGAAAGGCAGGGACAGTGAAGGGAGTAAGTGAAGGGAAAGGCAGGGACAGTGATGGACACCAAGGGCAGGGGCTTAGAAACACCAAGAGAACAAAGCACAGCATAAAGCAGATGAGCCTTGCTTATTCAAGAAAAAGTCATTGTACTTGTTTTCCAGGGTCTTGTCCAGACACACCACACTTGTCACTATGTACTCAGAACAGTATGTTAATCAGAGAAAGGTCAAGTTTCTCCAGGTTTCTCTGAGCAGAACTTTGAAGAACTTCTATAGATGCTGTTGAAACAGGAATATGTTCCTCAGTTGGTCCTCCACGCCAGGATGGGTACCTGCTCAGATCTCTGTGGACCTGGACATATAGGCTCAGGTAGCCCACTACAACTGCAATGCCTTCACCACCACTCAGGTCCCAGAGGATCTCATATTCCAGGGAAGTCTCAGCTGTTCTGTACTTGGGAAGCTGGAATACAAGGCCAGGAGGATATATTTTCAGAGGGGTGGGAAACCACAAATGGTAACCCTAGAATAAACCCAGGAAAGCTAATTATCTAGTTTTTAGCAGTGTCTCATGACATAAAGTATGCTTTGCATCAGAATTTGTGCACCAAAGGTTACCTTACAAGTACTGCCTTCTGCCTATTCTGTATCAAGCAAGGCTTGTGAGTCTTGTGAAAGGCACAGCAGTACAAGTGACACACCGCAGCTGAAATGCCAAATGCCCTATGCACCTGGAATAGGAGGGCAAGGGCCCACTGGGGAACTTCTTAAGGGTAGCTTTGCTGGGGGGAGACTTCAAGGTTGAGGAGCATGATGGAAAGACTCCCACACAGAATGCAAAGGCTGAAGCTCTTGTCTTCAAACTCTTACCCATGTTCACACTGGCAACCCACAAAGTTAACCATCTAATCAAATTTCAGATAGCTTCAGTTTTTCCTCCTGTGCAAAGTCATGCTCAACCTTCATTAGAATTCATCCTTCATGAATTCTACTACTGTAATCTTCCTCCTATTTCTAACTCAACTAGTTTGGTTCTTATGAGATGCTTGTTTTCTTGGCTTCCTTTGATGAAAATCAATAGGTAGGGCAAGAGGATCTAGGAATGGCACATGTTAACTGACAAAGTAGCTGAGGTCAATGAATACTTAACAGTTAATTGATGAGGACTCCTGATTTTAAAACTTCACGCTCTAATTCAAGGCAGAAAAGTGAAACAGGTTAAGTTAAAAATTCTAGGTATTATTATTTTTAGCATGGTCAATCACTGAGAGAGGACCATGGAAGGCTCAGTGTGTGTTGGTTCTTCATCTTCCCATGAGAAATATCTCCAAGGTTTCTGGTATAGTTTGTGTCTAGGTGACCACCCAAAGCTTCAGTCAGTCATGGGGCACTTTCTAGAGTTTGTAATTAGGGGTGATAGCTCAGTGGAATAAGTGCTTGCTTGGCAAGCACAGGTCCTGAGTACCATCAAAAATAAATAAATAAATAAATAAATAAAATCATTAAATTGCCTGGGCTGGACCTTCAACCTCACAGAGTGCTAGGATTACAGGAAGGCACCACCATGCCTAGAGTTTGTAACTAATTCATGATCCAGTGCTGGAATTGTGGGTGTGAATGCTACACCTGCCCTGGGGCAGAAAATTTGCATACAAATACAAGGAAGGGAGAGGGGCTTGCCAGCTGCCACAGCTGCTGCTCCTCCTTTTGCTCTTTGCTGTTTTCCACCACCATGAACTGTTGCCTTCTGCCATGTGCTACTCTGCCTTGGAGCCAGCTGAGTACAGACTGAAACCTCCACTAAGTGTGAGCTGAATAACCTTTTCCTTCCTTAATTTTGGATGTTAGGTATTTTTTTTCCCAGAAATGACATAAGAATAACTGAGATAGTTCCCTGGTGTCTGTATTCCTCTGTACATGAAGAGTGAAGCTAATGCTATTTCCAGTTGTCAAAGTGAGCTTCATACTCAGCTTCACATCCCAGGTCAGGGAGTTCATAACAAGGACCATCCCAGGTGAAAATGCAAACCTGAAGTTCATTCTTCTTTTAAGTTTGTGAAGCCTCACGAATTTTCCCTGAAGAAGGTTCTCATGCCACCCTGGTCTCAATCCCTGCCTTTCTATGTCCTCATACATCTTATCTATCCTAGAGGTATGTTCTTGGCATAGATATCCTGAGCTTGCTAAGGTGAGGACTTAACTAACAAAGTGAATTACATTATTTCTGCTAATACACAAACTAAAAAACAATAAGAAATCCTACAAAAGCATGATCTTTGGAGATTATTTTGTTTCATAATAGCCACATAAAAGCAATGCCTTATAAATGAATTAATTCTAAACCTGCCGTGGTGGTGCACACCTATAGTCCCAGTATTCAGGAAGCTGAGGCAGGAGGAATCCTGTGAATTTGAGGCCAGCCTGTGCTACACAGTGAGTATAAGGACAAACTGAATTATGTAGTGAGAGTTTGTTTCAAAAATAAGATGAAGTAATTCTGAAGGAGATGTTTTCCAGCTCTGTAAAAGGGCTGGAAGAATGACTACAGATGTGATAGGCTTCCTTATACAGATCCTCTGAAGTAATTGATGCTCTGTGTGTGAAAACCCTGCACGTGAGGAATTCTGGATCAATGACTTATTCATATACTCACTGAACAGAGTATTAGTCAGAGCCCTATTATGTGAGTCATGTGCTGGAAATATAAACAAAATAGATATGTCACTGCCCTTATGCAGTTCACATACCAATCAGGAAACAAACTAAACATGAACAGGCAAACAGAATCTTCATCTTCCCTTCATAGAATCTTTATAGAATCTTAAACTTTATAGCATCTACAAAGAGTGGTATGGAAGACAGAGGAGTTTCAGGAAAGTCTTCAATAAGATACAAATACTTTAGGCTAAGATTTCAAATATGAACGAAGCCACCTAAGTAGGTAGATAAGGTGTTGCCCATGTCAAAGCCCTCAAAACATACTTATGAATGAGATGTCTGTGAGGAAGGGCCTTGCTGTCATAGGGTAATGTGATACAAAATGACATTAAAGGGAGATACAGTGAGACAGAGCTTACCAAGACTACATTTTCTGATGATTTTCAGCCTTGAAGTTTATTCAAGGTGAAATGAAAAAGCATCAAGTGTTGAGTAGAGGATTTGGCTTTGTAATTCATTTAAGAAATTCTTCTCTAGAAAATGAATTAGATGTGAATTCAATTGTAAGTATATGAAGTATGGTCACAGAGAAAGCAGAAGGTCAGGAAAGGGATAGTGGTGGCCTGGACTTAAGTGGAAGAAATGGATGAATATAAAATATA